TTGAAAGGCCGGGAATGAGGGGGCCTGTCTCACCTCCGGGGGCAAGATGTTCCAAAGAGCGGGGGCTACAGCAGAGAAGGCCCGCCTTCTGGACCCTGCTAGTCGGAGTTCTTTTGCCAATATACTAAAACACAACCTCTTCCCTCCAGAGCTGTATACTTCTTCTCAAGATTTATCTTTGAGGGTTCAGTTGTGGGCATGGGATCACTTTAATCCTACTCAATGTGGATGGGAGAAACGGGGATGGGAGAAAATGGGAGAAAGAAAGCTTCAGCTGTACTGAGAAAGCTACGTTTCTCTCACAAAGGGTGTGCTGGAGCAGTTTCAAAGATTTATCTTTGAGGGTTCAGTTGTGGGCATGGGATCACTTTAATCCTACTCAATGTGGATGGGAGAAACGGGGATGGGAGAAAATGGGAGAAAGAAAGCTTCAGCTGTACTGAGAAAGCTACGTTTCTCTCACAAAGGGTGTGCTGGAGCAGTTTCAGAAATGATTATCCACTCTCTGTTAATTATTGTCAACATTTCTTCAGGAGAACAAATTATACAGTCAAAAGAGCAGCCACAAAAACCCAACCCATCATTGGAATCTCTCTCACAAAGATGATTAGCCAAAAATTTGATTGTATTTTAGTACCACTACAGACACCATTACTGGACAGGTAGATACAATGATTGGAGAATATGGTTACTGGCCACTAGCCTTCTCCAGTTATAGTTTCAGTTCCAAGCTGAAATGGGATATAGCTTGGTAATAGGTGGAAGTTATACTATATTCTCAAAGTAAACTAACATTCATTTTCCAAAGCAACACTCTTGACTTGGGGGCTTGGATCCTGGCAGAGAACAAACAAAGAATACAAAATGAGAAAAGATAGCAGAAAAGGGGGAAAAAAAACCCTACCTTATCTTGTATCAATAGTTATTGGTTTACTAATGAATACACAATTATAATACAATCAGTACAAAATATTATTGTAAAAATCACAAAATCTCTGCCATTGTAACACACATTGCTGCATCCTTTGATTAGTAGAAAACAGATGGATCACACGTTTCTGACAACCTTTCCTTTACATCTGGAATAATATCACATTTCCAGTTTCTCAAAATGTTTGAGAAAAGTTTGGAAAATGAACATATGGCCACTGAATTGGAAACTATCACTGTTCATTCCATTGCCAAAAAAGGGTGACTCCAAGGACTTCTGCAGTTACCGCACAATTGCCCTCATCCCTCACACTAGCAAGATTCTCCTTAAGATCATACAACAACATCTGGCACTGTGATGGAATGTATCTACAAAGGGGGAGGTGGTGTGATGGAATGCAGTAGAGATCCAGGTTCTCAGGAACAAGGAGCGCATTTCAGGGAGGAAACAAGAGGCAACATAGTCCAAAGCAGGAGCATGGGAAGAAGAGACTTAAGATAGCCACTCCCTAGATTCTCCCAGAGTATAT